TAGTCCAGTTCAGTTGCTGGTCAATGATAACTCCAGAATGTTGCACGTAGGAGATTCACTGATGGGAACGTCAAGGAATAATGGTTAGATCGTCTCTTACTGCAGATGTTCATTGCCTGGCATTTGTATGACATGAATATTACTTGCCACTTGTCAATTCAAACTGGATATTAGTCTTGCTACAGATTGGCATGGGCTTCTTCACTACTTGAGGAGTCGCGAATGGTGTTTAATATTGAGCAATCACGAGCAAACATCCCCAATTCTGACCTTATGATGAGGGAATTTCATTGATGAAGCAGCTGAAAGTGATTGAGCCTATGATGTTATCCCGATGAACTTTAGGATTCTTGTAGGGTGGTGGTAGTATCCCTAACTGTAAGCCAGGGGCCCAGGTTCAAGTCCCACCTGATCCAGAAATGTGTAATAACATCCCTGAACAGGCTGATTAAAAATAACTATTCTGAAGAAATTCTATAGAGATGTGCTGGAACCAAGGTGATTGACTTCTAATGACCACAACCATCTTCCTCTGGGGCAGTGGTCAGTTTTAGCTCAGCAGGATACTGTGCATTCCTACACTAAAACGAAATTAAACTCCTATCTATGCCATAGCTCCATGATTTGTATAGGGCATTGAAGTTCTAAACAGGAGCACTGGCCTCCTATACCAAATCTAACGTGCAAACACTAGTGGATAGGCTTCAGGCGAGTACTATTTAGGTCTCACTATTTCCCCAATGTCAGTGGAAATCAAAGTGACAGATACCAAAGTCAGGACCAAAGTGTTTCCGTGTTATTACCTCATTTCCAGCTTCCCTTTCCCCCCCAGTCCTCAAACTTGTCCTGACTTGCAAATCTATCTTCTTCAAGCCCAAGCCTTGAAATGTGAATGCTTCCAATTACAGTGTTGTCCCTGTCACAGCACTAAAACAGGTCTTATCAAGTCATGAATGGTATCTCGTCAATGTGACTTTGGAAAATGATCAATCATCATCCTTCTTGATCCATTAATTGTTTTCAACACTGTTAATCTCACCAACCTTTTTCAAAATTTTTCTTCTGTTGACCAGGTGAATGGGACTACCATCAACATTCTGAGCTATCCAGTCATAGCCAAAGAACCATTAAAAATCTCATCTCCTTCTACTTCTGCCCATTACCTCTGGGGACTCCACAAGGTTCAGTGCTGGGCTCTCTTGTATCTGCATGCAGATCCTTGGTGACATCAACTGAAAGTGCATTCCATACATACATGATGACATGTAGACCTGTCTCATGACTACTTCTCTTAACTCTTCCAGTACGTCTGGTTTATCAGGATGATTTCTTGACATCCAGTTTTGGCTAATCTTTCTACAGTTAAATATTGGACACTCAAAAGACAATGGGTTTGATCTCCATCACAATCCCTGGTGCCTGGAAATTGACTCCATCCTTTCCTCCAGCCACTGCCAGAGACGCACTGTCTGCAAGCTTGGTATTGTATTTCGTATTGGGGTCAGCTTTCACCCTCCAATAGCGCCCATTCTAGGTTTGCAATCTGCCTCAGCTCACCCATCATTGAAACATCTTCCATGCCCCTGTTATCTCTAGATTTAACTCTTTCAATACTTTCCTACGCACTTGGCCACCTCACACGCTTCATTAACTTTAGTCCATCCAAACTTCAGCTGCCTATTTTCTAACAGAGACAAAGTCCTTTTTGGTTCCACCAGTATCCACATCCAGAAGATCATCAGTTGCCATTTCTGCCACCTCCAGACACATATTCCCCTTCCCTCCCTTGTCCGCCTTTCACAGGGACCATTCCTTCCAGGACAACCTGGTCCACACTTCCTTCACCCCCAACATCTCCCTACAGCCCACGGCACCTTCCCCTGTAACCGGTGAAGGTGCAACATCTGCCCATTTACCTCCTCCTTCCCCAGTATCCAAGGGCCCAAACATACCTTCCAGGTGAAGCAACACTTCACCTGCACTTCCCAGAATCTAATCTACTGCATTCGCTGCTCACAATGTAGTCTCCTCGACATTGGGGAAATGAAGTGTAGACTGGGTGACTGCTTCGCAGAACATCTACGTTCTGCTCGCAAAAAAGACACTGAGCTACCTGTTGCCTGCCACTTTAACAAACCACCCTGTTCCCTGGCCAACATCTCTGTCTCTGGCTTTCTGCAGTGTTCCAGTGAAGCTCAACGCAAGCTGGAAGAACAACACCTCATTTTCTGCCTGGGGACCCTGCAGCCCTCTGGACTCGATATAGTATCGAGTTCAATAATTTTAGGGCCTAAACTCTCCCATGTCCCAGCCCCCAACCCCACACACCAGGCCTTGTTACCACATAGCCTGCCATTACACACTACCTACTGTTAGTCACTAACAATCCCCATTAACAACTATTTACCCTCCCAGCCTAATCATTAGCAAATCCTTTGTCTATCCAACTGCTCCTCTCACTCTTCAGGTTCTATCCTATCGTTTACTCCCTACCCCATCTCCCTCCCTATTTTCTGCATATAAATCAACATTTTCCCAGCTACCATCAGTTCTGAGGAAGGATCACCAGACCTGAAACGTTAACTCTGAAGAAAAAAATCACAGATGCTGCCAGACCTGCTGAGCTCTACCAGCAACTTCTGTTTTTGTTCCTGATTTGCAGGATCCGCAGTTATTTCGGTTTTTATTCACAAAGGCATAACTGGGACCTATGTGCATAACCATTGTAAAGCATGTTAAAATTCTTTGCTTAGAATTTTTCATGAAAGTGCCTGACAATTTTTCTTTGTAGGGGTAGCAATGAATGCCCTGCATTACTTTTGCCACAACCGTGTTCAAACAATGTGATGATTTACAGTGCAATTTACAACAATAGACCTTCCCTCAAATTAATAAATAAAAGTAATATAACTATGTCAAGCGATATCATAAAGACAAGACTTTCTTAACTTGAGTATACTGAAACTCAGTTATGGTGAACAGTCAGTTTAAATTTCATTTCAAGTACTGTAACCCAAAAAAGGTGCTGAAATTTCTACATAACAAATTGTGGCGCTGACCTGAAACTGGATGCATTTTTGCAAAGGACTGCCATTCATAGGCTGTTTCCTGTGGCTGAACTGTAATATACGTCTGGTTTGAAAGTGTACATTTAAGAGAAGCCAGTCAAAACACCTAATTTGCCTGTTTAATTACTGACTTTAACTTGTCTGAGCCCTTGAACTATATAGTGGGAGGTGACGGCAAAGTGGTAATGTCACTGGACTAATAATCCAGGGCTCCAGGTTAATGCTTTTTGAGGCACAAGCCTAAATTCTACCATGGCAAACTGCACTAGTATATATTAAATAGATAAGCACAGGCATCATTCACAATTGTCATTTTAACTACATCAAATACAACAAAGCGTCCTATGGTTGTGTCATATTTCCAACCAAGAGAACCTCTTATCGATGAAAGACCTTCTAGTGCTAGTATTTAGTGCTAAACTATCACAGCACACAAAGTGGAAAGTTCAGTCTTGAACAAAAATGAAGTGATGATTGGATTTTAACACTTGGAAAGATGATCTCACTTCAAGCACTTTTGACTGTTTCCAGATCTGATAAACCAAGTGACAGATTATTATTACATTCCTAAAATATTTTAATAATGTTTTTCAGGTAAGACTTCTACTTAAATTGTTAGTTACATTGTTTCAAGTCAAAGTTGGGCCAGTGCTCCTTATGTTGCTTAGGACCCACCTTTGTTTTTCAGCTGATGATTCAATATCCCTCAATATTAAACACCATTTGGAGGATGCACTGAGGTTAGCAAGGGCACAAAATGTATTCTGGGTGGGTGACATGCAGTGTATGGTTCACAAAGACAGCTCACAACCACCTTCTCAAAGGCAGTAAATGCTGCTTTTGGTAGGTAATGTTTGCATCCCATGAACGAATGCATAAAGAAAATATATTAGTTCAAGTGAAAATTGCACAAAGCGGGGATTTTATGGAGGTTCTTTGTTCATTGTAGACAGATGTCTATTTTAGGATGTGGGCATTCCTAGCTAGGCCAGCATTTATTACCCATCCCAAGTTACCCAGATTACAGTTAAGAGTCAACCACATTGCTGTGGGTCTGGAGTCACGTGTAGACCAAACCAGGTAAGGATGGCAGTTCCTTCCCTAAAGGCATTAGTGAATCCAGATGGGTGTTTTCCTATAATTGGCAATGGATTCATGGTCATTTATCAATATAACATGTTAAATAATTACTAAGTAGATGTTTCTATCTGAAAATCTTATCAGAAGTGTTCTATTTTCCAAAAATTCCAGTCACTCTCATTTTCTTCCCTCCTAAAGTTGCTGCTTATTTGCTGCAGGATTAAATTTATGAGGGGGACTTGGCAGTGATTGTAGGCAAGATGTTACAGCCAAGCCTAGTCTTACCTTCAAAGTAACATCCACACAAATTTATGTAACCAGAAGTGGAAACTGACCAATTTTTCTCTTCCTAAAAAAGGATTCGCAAGGTCTATGTACATCCTTTCGTATCACACCAACAGACTGGGGATCAAATCTGACATATTCCTGTTTTGTGTGGTTCACCTATTAAATAAATTTGATGAGACATCTGTGGAGAAGGGAGAGCCAAAATATATATTTTTTAAAATGTTCTAGCTTTGCACCCTGCATCACATAAAAAAAGTTGAGAAACCAGTATGCAAAGTGACACCTTACAAGGCTGCTTCAAAGTTTGAAAGTCCTTGGTTGGTCAATTCAAATGCTGTAGAGAAGCCTATAGTACCAGACTAGAACAACAAACTACAAGAATGACTCGTCTGCTAGTTAGAATCAGCACTGTTATCGAGAAGAGACATATGCATCAAAATGAAACTACACTATGTAAAGAAATTCGAAGCCTCTTGCAGCTAGAATTAATATTTTTAAAGCTGCAAAATGAGACAACTGGAATCTTCAGTTAAAAATATAAATTAAACAATAGATGACAAAGGATTGAAGCAATGCCGTGCTTTAACTAGATTTTATTCAATACCAGCTTTAATTACTTGCACCTTGATAAATATTTTTGGAATACTTCCCATTGATGTGAAAGTTAAGAGTATTACATCTGATCACCTGATGTACTGCAAATCATTTTCTTTGAAAGAGCATTCTAAGTACTTTTGTTACTTGTTATCACCAACCTGTGTCAGCAGATCAACACATAAATACGTTAGTAAATCATGGCACACTAATAGAAGAACAATAGGAGGCAGGCAAACCAAAGAAGTATTTGTTATCAAATTTCCCACTAAATGTGTAATTCAGCTGGGTCACTCATCATGCACCCAACAATTTCCTTTTTTAAATGTTGTTGATGTGTGCTATGCATCAGTCTGCAGGGTGCTGATAAAAATCACTAGAACTAATCGTGTACAGAGGTTCTTCTCAGACACAGTGCAACTTTGCTTATGGAGGTATTACTGGCAGTATGACTCAATAAATTTAGAAAAACCATTCTGTCAGTTGCTTTCTTGAACACAATATTGCAAAGGAGAATTCACATTCATTGAGGCTCCATTTTGGGTTATTATAAATTGCACTTTGTTTTGCCGACCACAGTTGTTACATCACTCAAGTGGAATATTGTCGAGTTGGCTTGTGTTTCTTAAGTTTGAAGAAAGGTGTAAAATTAGGAAACCCATCTCCATAATTATTCTTTTATCTGTAAAACAATAAAAAAGTAACATTACTGGGTTGTTGAAGCACAGAGTAAAGTACTTGACAATTAACTGAGATTTTTAAATAAGTTATGTAATCAATGCATTTCACTTTAAATTTATTACATAACAGAAACAATGCATATTTTAGCAGTATATGTATCATCAGATTGGTTACTTGCTAAATCACACTAATAAATTAGTAACAAATATGAGAAGACATGCCTACTTCAATTTCTAAATGCACTCATAAGGATAAAGAACAATTCAAGACTTCTTCAATTTATAAAACTGAATCAAATAAAAATGCCTGAAATCATCTGGAGAAAGTTTTATGTCATATATGTATTTTGCACTTTTAAGCAAAAAAGCAAACCACTGTGAAAAACGCTATTAGACCTTGGCATCTAACACCTGATGCCTCAAGGCAAACACAAAGAACCATCACTTAGGTAGTGTCACAAGGTTATTAAAGCTTGTAGTTCAGCGTGAGACACTGCCTTCTTTAGGAGGAAGAAATTAAAAGAAAAATTAACATATTTCTACTAAGCATGTGATTCTGTCTTTATTATTTAATTGTGATTCATGCATTTTAGAGGCAAGCAAGCAAACAAATTTTGAAAAAATCTTAAAAGCAGTGATTCTGTACCTTCCCCAATGAGGCAAGATGTATTAAACAGCAGAAGCGTACAGTTCTCCAAATCTAGTGTTTCATTCAATGTTGGTCCAAACAGAAGAGTGCCAAGATAACAGAATGAACATCTTAAATTCTGAGAGCCAATAGCAGTTCTCAAGTTAAGTGTCAAATCGGAAGAAAAGTTCTCATCATCATCATAGATTCTTGGTGAGCATGGGAGGGAAAGATTATTGGGAATTGTGGAAATATGGAGTTGGGATACAATCAGATCAACCATGATCATATTGAGCGCCAAAGCAGGTTTGAGGAGCTGAGTGGTCTACTCCTGCTCCTAATTCATACGTTTGCATACCATATTCCATGTCAGCCACAGGGCTCATGTGAGCTTGATCAACTGTGACCAAGCCAGAGGTACTTTCACTATGTGGGCGTGCAACTGCTGAGGCTACTCAATCTTATATCACATGCAAAGACAGCCAAAATTTTCATCCATTAATTTGGTATAGATTCAACAGTATGGATACCACAGGAGAAAGGCAGAATTATAACTCACCTGTCAGGCATTTTTATTTTAAATAAAGTGGGGAAGTCCCATAGCTATTAAGAACGGAATCAATTACAGTTAAAAAGAAGTCTATAACTTAAGGATGTGGTTTCTTATGTTAAATCTTAAATGCATTACTGTCTCATTCAGTGGAAAACAAACAGATCTTAAGCTTCAAATAATAGTTACCTCTGTGACTACTCCTGCTGCTACACTGGATCCACTATAACGTAACATAAAACGACCCAGTTCCTTGAAGTCTTTGTAAAGTTCCAGAGGGACAGGTCTCTGAGCTTGCAGCTCTATCAAGGCATTCTGGCCTTTAGTCAAACATCTGAAAATTATAAACAAAGTATGAAAGCAAGGAGAAATCAGATAAAAGATCTCCTGGCTCATTCAGTTCAAGGACAATTAGGAATAGGGAATACATGCTTGGTCCAACTTGCAATGTCCATATCCCACCAATGATTAACAAAAAAGCCCAAGAACCAAAATATTTCAGAAACATTTGGAGTTTTGATAAACAGTAACTGGGTGGTATATGATTTCAAGAATGTTAATATTAATATCTTGGAAACAACCTTTACTCACCCCCAAAAGCAAAATATCATTTCCTGTAATAATTTGCCCTTAATCATTGTTTTCGTTTGTCAATTTGTCCCAATGTCAGTCTCATTTCAGTGAGGTACTCATTGGTACTATGGCACCCTGGTAGCCATTGTCTGTCAACTAATTAGAAAAATACTGAAGGAACAATTTATGAACGTATGATCTTTAGACTGTACATACTCAATTAACAGGAATCTCCTTTCAGCTTATTTGTATTTCATCGAATAATTTAGGATAATACTTCATTAGGTTTTAAATCCAAGGGATAGGAAAATGCTACATAAAGGATTAGAAATGGAGCATCACCTTGAAATCTGACGATGATTTTAGGTAAATTGAACCCCAAGTGCCTGTCATATGTCGGGAGGGAATTTCTTTGTTTGCTACATAATGAAACCCCCTGACAATGCATGAGTTCATTATACACACATATTCATTCTGCTTCATATTTACCCACAGCTACAAAGCATATTATTGTGGCTTGATTTCTGAGCCTACGACCCACCTAAGTGCTTGATCAAAGTCTAAATTTAGGCATTCCAAAACTGCCTGCTCACATCTTTCAGAATATTTTATTTTTTTTTCTAAATGATGTACAATACATGTATACCATTTACTGTACTTGTCATGAACTGTTTAAAGGGATATTTCAATCTGTATTCAAAATGTATTCAAAATGTATTTTAGTCAATGACCGATGACAATTAGGTATGAATCACCAAATAATTCTGATTCAAAAATTAGCTTAAACATTATTCAAGCAAAGCTATCTTAGAACAGACATGCTTTGTGAGTTAAATGATTTGAACAGCACTGACCTAAATGGTTGATGTAATCAAAGCGTTCACAAAAATGACAGTATATCATTATGAAAGAAAATAATTAATTTTTCAGACTGTCTTACGTTGTGCATCATCGTGAAAATTTATTTAAGGACCACGGAATCATTTTGGAGACTAACAAAATAAAGTTGTCAAATCACCTTCATTGTCACTATTTTGGCTAGAAATTACCTTGTCCTAAACGAAAAAGCACTTACTACCACAACTCGTCAGTGTATTAGTTCAGCTGGTCCCAAGGCCAAAAAAGTACATGATGAAGCCAAACAAATTGTTTTAAAACAAAACTGTAGACATTTTATTTTTTTACATTTCTTACTCAAAGAGAATGATGCAATTGAACAAGGTTCTACTGCAATTATTTCTTGTGGTAGACAAGGCAGTGTTACATAACTCCAACATCCTATTAGTTAATTCATGGGCATTGTTTGTAGTTCAAAGTGGAAAACAGTTTAAAATTTTAAACAGTTTGAGATGGCCAAACCAAATACTGAATTGCAATGATCCATATACTGTATCCTAACAGGCAAGTAATGTTCATGAGTGTGGCACAATACTCAAAATTCAAGGCACACATCAGTGAGGTAGATAAAATAAATATAAACTTCATTGCAATTGTTACCTTTGCACTTCTCTGAATGATAAATTAGATTAATAATTTAGGTTATTCAGCACTGCTCTGAAGGTTTATTCCAACTTAGAATTTCAATTGTAAAAGGGTCCAACCTTAGCCATATTATTCGGAAAGATGCCCAAAAAGTCTTCATACTTTACACAAAGTGATAAAGACTGTTTGGTGACTTTCAGATCTGAATCAGTTTATGAGTGATGTGGGAGTGTACTGGCAGGAAGTTATTTTTTTTGTCTGATAAGAGGTGCATGTAACAGGAGTTATCAAAAAAAACTATAGCAAAAATAGGAAAAAAAACAACTTTGAAAATTGACATCTAATTTGTTGGGTTCAAGCCGACCAAAATTAAATTTTGAATTTCACTTTGCAAGTACAACTATAAAGAATAACAGAATTTTAAGTAATGCTTACTTGGGCTTTTTCTTGAGAACCTCTCCTGTACTCTTGTGCAGAACACTCACTAGCCTTCTGATTGTACATGGTTCACTTAAAGTTTGGTAGTGTAATAAAACCTGTTAATAAATATGCAATCAATACTTTAAACATTAAAGTGCAACTGTCCACAGTATTCAAAATAAACTAGTGTATTGCATTCCTTATTCCGATTAAACATGTTCTTTTTTAGTCAATATTATATCCTCAAAGTTTACTCAATGTCTTTTCAGAGTTTGAAACAAAATGAGAATACACAATTTCAAATTCAATCATTACAAATAAACCAAACACTTCCCAGAATACGTTGTGAGGTATTTGAAGGAGGAGCATGATAACTAAAGCGAGGGTTCAGTTAATGTGGTGAAGACGGGCATAAGAGAGAATGATGCCAATTTAAATTCTCAGTCTAAATTCAATTACGGATTAGCACAATGTCCTGCAGGACACATACAATGATTCTATTTTTACCTAAACATTTAAAGATAGCACTATTATATTAATTTTAGTTATATTTCAACAATTTTACAAATAAACATCTCAAGTTTACTTTTCCACAGATTTCCAACAGAATAGATTCAGGACATCCTAATACTTCTATTCTGAAAGTTCAAACATATAATGCTTAATTATTTGCACAAGGAAAATTTTGTTAAATAGTACCCAAAGGATGAAAGGAGGCACAAATTGCCAAATTAGTGAAAATAAAGGCAATATGATGTAGGTGCTTCTGTAGTATTTTGCATAGTAATGCACTGTCTGCATTTACTAAACAAACTAAAATGTTTTGACTATTATAAGAGTTTACTGGTTATGTTATTGCTTCACTGCAATAGCCAAAGTGTAGAAATCTGATTTTAACTTCCACATTTCAGGGTAAGATATACTAGCATTCAATCAAGTGGCATTATTGTGTCAGCTGCACGTTAACATAGCAATCCAATGTTTCTGCCCAAAAGAGCATCAGTTCCAGTTTAGCAGAAACAAAACTCAAAATCATCATTTTCACATGTTTATAAGTATATAGAGGAAGCAGAAAAAAAGGTAAAATAAGACAAGATAAAGTAATGTAGGACTGCAACAGAAAGGTTGGATTTCCGAGAACAATCTTACTTTTAACCTCAATTCACATTTACTGAATTCCAAATAAATACAGAAAGAAAAAAGTGCACTTACTGGTAAACCTTGTGTGATTGGAATATCAATACTGAAAATAAGAACTCTAGCTCTAAATCTCATGCATGTTTTTATAGGTGCTTTCTGATCACAAAAAATACACCCGACACTGTAGAAAGAGAAATAAAAAGGAAAAAAAAAAATCAGCAGAACTGGTTAAAAATAGACAGCAAAAAGTTCAACAACTTCTGTATGTTAAGTGGTTTGCTTTCACAAAATGCTTATTTTATATATCATGTTAAATTGTGATTTTGTGTGATGGAATATAATTACATATAGCAAAACATGAATAATTGTAATGAGCTCAACTGTCACAACCTAATAGTTAACCTTAACAGTCAAAATGAACACACTGGTGCATTTTACAAGAGAAGAGATGACCCTCAACTAAATGAAGCATTGTGCTCAGTTTAATGAGCCCTTTGGAATACTTGCAGGCAGGAAGACCAGCAGTGGGATAGCTCCCTATTGCATTTCCAATGCAGAGGCTTCCCAGGAGCAGCTTAGGAAATGGGTTGGTTGCATGCTGAATTTGTGTTGCTGAGGTTCTGGATTTGCTGCTCTCTGATTGTGCTAGCATAATCAGGAGCCAACTTGGATATAGTATGCTGACCAAAGCCTCAAAATCTACCTAAACGTAGCACCACACAGTGCTGGTTGGCTGTCTCACTGCTGCTTAATCCCCAACGGTCAATGGGACACATAAGGTTTGGAAGTGATCATCCCAAGTTATCAAGTGTAAAATCACAATGACTGAAAAACATTTATTCAGCAACAATAACAAGGTCCACATGTCCACTGTACAAAGCAGGGCCTGTTTCCCAGAGAAGCAGCAATCTTGAACAATGAAAAATGTTCCAAACTCTGCTCAATCATCCTGGAAGTGGGGTTCTGAGGTGCTTTCTAGCTTTTCACACTGATGCATTGGTCTGTTGTGATGTCACGGATGGGTCTCATTGTCAATCTCCTCATCTTTGTCCTCAGAAAATGACTGCTGTCCCCCATGCATTCAAGACATCACAGCATTGTTGGCTCCAGTATGAAGGGCAGAGCATACCACTAACGATGCAACATACTCGCCCTGGGCTCTAATGCAAGACCCTGCCAAAACAGTCCGACCATCGAAACCTCATCTTAAAGGAGGCTTATAGTCTCTTTCATCACTGGCCAGTGGAAGCACGAGCAGCAGTTTGACTGAATTGACTTTCAATCCGAGATAGCAAGTGACCAAATTAATGTTCTCATGAGTGAATTCCAGATTCCACCTGAGCCATACCTTTTCTCTTTGTTAGCCTGAGGGCATCAAGGTGGTGTCAGGGACTATGGTGAGAGCGGGTTCTCCTCATCTCACAGCATTCATCCCAATGCAGGGATAGATAGGAAGAAGGCAGGAATCTGAGAGTTCGTCAGTATGCAAGAGACATGGGAGCCCCCAGTGGTCACATATAATTTTTACATTGATGGAATAGAAGCCGTTTGTTGATGAGCTCTGTAGATCGAGAATAGGATGTCCTCAAAACAATATAGGTGGAGTCATTAGCAGCCTGCACAGGGAAGCCAGCAGTAGCGGAGAATCCCACTGTCTAGGCCGCTTGACTCACCTCATCCTTATCAACTTACTCTGTCTTTTAGACATTTGAGAAAGATGACAGTGAGGCCTGTAAATGTGGGACCTGATCTTGTTCCTCCATCCCCTTGGGGGAATCTTAAGTTGCACCCTTCTCCAGCTTGAGGCTGCGTTGCAGCCACCAGAAGCCACTTTCCTTGCTGAGATTATTGAGAACATTGCAATTCCTGTTTCTGAGTTTGAAACAAGGCAACAAGGACTCCAGGTGCAACAATGTTCACGTCAGATATCTGAACAGGTTATCTGTGGGGATTGTCAGGAAGATAGCGGAATTTTATTTAAAAAAAACTCTTGATCCATGACACGATAAGGAAAAAAAAAACTGCACGATGTCATGATTGCTTGAGGCCAGAATACTTAATTTGAATTCTTGGACAATGAATGTTCTGCCAGTAAATTACAAAGTGAAGCTAGATGGGTGGCATTATTGAATCACTGAAGTCATGATCATTGTAATTGCCACCAGTAGGGCCTCAAACTCCAAAAGTTTCATGCCACCCCAAAGAGAAACAGTAAATTACTTCGTGCACTTTACACAGTGTCAGCCATTTTGTAGTTACTGTAAAGCGGATTTTCAATCTGAGATAGCAAGTTTCTAACTTCATATTCTTCCTGAGACACAGGAAGATTATCCTCCATCCTTCATGTTTCCTTTTGTGTTGTTCTAGTAGCCCCAATGACACCTCAGTGACCCCATGTTTCGGGTGAGTCCCATATATAATGGCTAATGACCCCCTTTAACCCAGAACTTTGCATATTCCCATCCCTTTGTAGGCCAGCCAAGGCGACTATAATTTGTGACACACAACCACCCCTTCCTAACCCAACAATCCCCTTTCTCGGAGCTCCCACTCCCCTGTTATGATCTATGAGATCCCACCTTCCATCGTGAAGTGCCCCTTTTCACAGTAATAGTTTTGTCAGCCACCCAGCTTAATGAATGTCATCCCCAGACGAGTTTGTCCACTTTCCATTGGGCTCCACGGACTGTTCTCTGACCATTACTGCCTAGAAATGATCATGGTTGATGCCCTGACCTGACCTGGCAGGGCAGACCTGACTGAGTACTTTCCAGTCCTGGGACTGATGTCTCCACAATACACTGACTGACCAACCTGTAATCCCCAAATTGGTTGCACTTGATATGCAGGGCTGACCATGGCCCAATCCTCAGACTGCAAAGGCACAGATCTAGTAGGACCAACCTCTTAGCTGACTATGGCCAAATCCCGGAATCGGATGAGCCCGTTGATGGAGTGCAACCATTTTATCTGATTGACTTTGATACCCCTTAACCACACTAATGAATGCTCGCCTTTAATTTTTCAGACGTGGCCCTTTGCATGATGCATATCCAGATTCTTTGCAATAAGCTGCTACTTGTCCAACCCCTTGGCTGTTCAGTACTCTGCCTCATAACAAGCTGCCTCTGTCTCTGCGCAAAAAGAAACAATGCACGCCACAGAGGATGGCAGCCTCTATGTAGGCATGGAGTGAATGAGTGAGTGCTAAGAAAGCAAGGTAACAGTCACAAGGTACATCCTGTGCAGATGCATGTGTGGCCATCTGCCATGGGGAGATCCAAACCCATGTCCCCAGAATATTGACTTGGGGTTCAAGATTACTAACCCAGAGACATTACCACTTATGCCACTGCCACCCTGATAAGGCAATACACTTGGGAGGCTTGCCCAGATGACATGGACTGCTCTCCCACTCCTGGTGAAAAATTAGTGGCACAGAGATGAGGCCCTTAAGTAGCTACTAACTGACTACATAATGACCTCAATTCGCCAAACAGCATGAAGGCCAACCTCGAACCGGGTCCCCACCCTCTGCCACAATTAGAAGGGGGAAGGGCTCTCCACTCCATTCCTTCCCCTCCCAATTATAGATAAATGCTTTTCAATTAGTTACTTAATTCCACTTTAAAAGCCTATAGAAATAGACTGGCACAGTACAGCTGCATTCCAAAACCAACACGAATAATGTATTACATTGCCTTGAGCACAAGATTTCTAGCATCAAGTTTTAGAAACCAGCCTCCAAAAAACACCTGTGCAACCATAATACAGCAAGTCCACTTTAAAATTCAACTACACTGGCAGCTTAGTTTCTCATTTCCTTCTTCCAGGTACAAACCAGTAACTTAGATGATTTAGTGGTCATGGTACACAGATGAACTGTGCCTCACTTTCAGAAACTGGAAATGGCTGCTTATTGCTCTTACAAGTGTTGCAAATTGGGGCATTTCTTTATGACAAAACTATTATATCAATGTAAGTTTGTTTTTAATTGATGAATTTAAATTGATAATGTAGCTGTCACAAGATACATCCTGTGCAGATGCACGTGTGGCCATCTGCCATGGGGAGATTCAAACCCATGTCCCCAGAATATTGACTTGGGGTTCAAGATTACTAACCCAGAGATGTTACCACTTATGCCACTGCCACCCTGATAAGGCAATACACTTGGGAGGCTTGCCCAGATGACATAATTTTATTCTGCCTTAATATTCTAACTCAAATATATGGTGCAACTCTGTAATCAAGGTCAGCATGACCTCACAGCAAAATATTGTGTTCATAGCTTTGAGATACTAAACACAATTTAAAAGAATAGTCTCTGATTCTCTAAAGAGTATAAGCTGTAAGAGTGATAGTAACATGTAAGGAATGCAGGGTAGTTTGATCTTAGAGTAGGATAATAGGTCGGCACAACATCGTGGCCCGAAGGGCCTGTACTGTGCTATATTCTTTTGGATCGCACAGTAAAGCACATGGTCATTATAACTCGAGGATCAGAACTTAAATTAAGCTTAGAATGATCGGGCAGAAAGCATCTTCACTTGACTACGTGCATCCATTCTGTGCAAAATGAGCATGGCGCAATTTAGTTCCTCAGAAAGTGCAGTGTCCATGACAAGTTAGCCCATTACAGGTTATCAGACTCACTGCCCACAAGGATTACTGTTATGGAAAGTGACAATTATAACCGATGCAGTATAAACTTCTGTTAATTCAGACCAAGGTACATTACTGGAGCTGTATAGAAAATGTGTGGTTCAGCATTTGTCTGTACATTGTCAAAGACCCAGCAGTAATTTTGCAACTTCACACAGGGGTGGAGTAGGTATTTCTAAACAACCAATACAGACATGTTATGATACTCATCCAGTGTACACAGGCTTGAATATGAATCTCCTGGCCCAGGGGTAGGGACACTACCACTGCTCTACAACTTCCCTATAAATAAGTGGTACAATAGAGTTTTTTTTTAAATCGACTTCCTCAGATATGGTATTACGTATGTCTAGGACAGGTGGGACTTGAGTGCAGACCTTCTGACCCACAGATAGGGACACTACCACTGCAGCACAAAATCCCAGCAGAAACGCTGTAGGAACAGATAATGTGTGCAGGAGGAGGCACGGATGAAATGTAAACACTACCACATATCAATTAGCCCACATGTTGTTTCTGTGCAATAGGTATTGCAGAGTTACAGAGTCATAGAGTAATACAGCATTGAAACAGGCCCTTCCGCCCAAAGTGGTCCATGCTGACCATGGTGCCCATTCCGCTAGTGCCAATTGCCTGCATTTGGTCCATATCTGTCTAATCCCTTCCAGTCGATGTACCTATCCAAATGTTACAGCTGGAATTTAAATTGATAATGTAGATGCAGTTTTTATTCGACCTTAATATTCTACCTCAAATATATGGTACAACTTTCTAATCAAGGCCAGTATGATTTCACAGCGGTGTAAGAGAAGTGTTGGGACAAGCGACTTCACAGCCAGCACACTCCCCATCCCAATCAACGAGAAAGCTCGCCTGATCAAGCACAAATTAGGTAGTTAAGGTAAACAAAAGCAAAATACTGTGTACGTTGGAAATCTAAAACAAACACAAAGGATAATAGAGAAACCCAGCAGGTCCGGCAGCATCTGTGGAGAGAAAAATAGAATTAACATTTCATGTCCAATATGATTCTTTTTTAGTTCTGTGGTTTCACTGAAGTGCAAAGTGGGGCAGCAGGGTGGGGTTGGGTGTTGGGGAAAGACCTCTACTGCTTTTACCTGACAGGAAGACAGGGAATTTGTGCCACTGGTTGGTTAAGGCCCTTTACTGGCCATTGGTTAAGGCCTTAATTGGTAGTAGTCCCTTTCACATAGATTTTTAAATCAGAAGAACACAATTCAGAACTTGATTCCAATTCTTAATGCCTTCCTTTCAGGCTTGCTGCAGTCCCAGTATTGGCCACCACTCACATTGGCGCTACTGGACCACAAAAGCTGTCCCTCCACTTCAAACTATTTAAAGGCTGAATAAAAACGGAAAGAACTGTGGATGCTGTAGATCAGGAACAAAAGCAAAGTTGCTGGAAAAGCTCAGCAGGTTTGGCAGCATCTGTGAAGGAAAAGACATCTGAAGAAGGGTCACCGGACCTGAAACGTTAACTCTGTTTTTTCCTTCACAGATGCAGCCAGACTTGCTGAGCTTTTCCAGCAACTCTGTGTGTGTGTGTATTTAAAGGCTGAAGGCTGAGCCAGCCAATCGGAGGCATGTACATGCCTGATCATTGCTTGAGAGGCAGAGCTATTGCACCCCCATTGTAAAATTCCAAGTGTTTTAAACAAGCTCAATACAACTTGTCTACTTTTGAATTCTATGCTTTATAAGGTAACCCATGTGTGTTGTTTACACACTTTCAAATTTGCATTGGTATTATTAATCTTTCGTGAATGCATTTTCCATGATCCCTTTGCTGCTATACTCCTTCGAAATCCTTATTTTCCAAATAAATGGCCTCCTTCTCCTCCTACCAAAATGCACCATCTCAATTATCCACATTGAAATTAGATTAATGGGCTGCCAAGCTTGCAAATGTGTTAATGTCTTAAACTTTGCCATGGTCGCCCTCATTATAAACTACATGCTATGGTGTCACAAATTTTGAAACTATATTTCCATACCAACTATTCTTTATAACATTTAGTTTCTCAATGCCTTTCTACTATATCTTTGAGAAAAGATTCGAAATTTGTTCCTATCACTGACTGAGAAAATTTATATAATTCTCTGAACGTAGTTTTCTGATAATAAGAATAGTATTTATTGCCCATCAACTCTCTTCCATAATCTGCGTCACTGGCTGGCTGGCATTTATTACCTGTCCCTAGCTGCCCTTGAGAACGTGATGGTGAACTATATAATTATTTATATTAAACACATTTTTTTCATGCCTCTACTTTCTCTTTCCTGGTTTAAGTAAATGTTTATCTAATCCAGCCATACCACGGGTTATATCTTTCCTACGTTAAATTAGTTCCATCTATTGCTTCCATCTCTTCCATGTTAAAAGGCATAATATTTTTTGTGATATCTTCTTCAAACACCAGGAGCACCAATTAGTCTCAGGTAAAAACCGAAGCAAAATAATTTCCATTGTTACCACTCAATTGTCATTACATCAGGGTTTATCTTGTACATTCCATAGTGGCTCTACCCTTATATTTCTTTTATTATGTATAGAATATTCTACATTTTCTTTTTATACTTTCTGATAATTTCATTTCACAATTCTACTTTGCCACTTAAATTTTAAGAGAAATTATTTCCCAAGTTCTTTTCATTCCCTTTTATCATTCTCTTTCATTTCCTATATGCAAGAGCATGCCTATCTCTAGATTCAATTTTATCCACATATCTTTTTATTAGTGGAATATACTTAAGAAAACGTTTTAAAATATATCTATCTCATTTTTAGCTACAGAGAGCTGGCATGTCTGTCCTTATGCAAGGGGCCATGGAAAACAACACTTCAAAATGAAGATAACAAAAAAACAAAAACTTACTTTATTTTTATAATGTCCACACCAGTCACTGTGAGAGTGACGTGATCTCCTGCTGCGGCCCAATCGAGTGGCTCATCATGTAAGGCAATTCCTGGAAATGAGTAAATTTGTAACCCCATAGTCAGCTTTCTGGGTTATGATAGTGAAATGTGCATCTAAAATGTTTTTAACTTTGGCTGACACTAATCTGAGTCATAATTTCTCAACATGAATGCGCAGTATTTTAACGACCATTACACAGCATCCTGCTTGTGCTGATATATACGTGAGAAAACTGCATTGGATTTGCAAATGTTGCATAATGTCTCCAATTTGTATTTGAAAGTGGTCAAATTCATTAACAAAGTTTAAACAGTTCACAAACCACTTTTTGTTCGTTACTCTGTTTTTCACATTTCACTAGAACTTACGCAGCATTTCCTGATTGATATTTAAAAAGAATTTTCTGTTATGTTTTTCATCAAATATCACTGTTTGGCAGCAAGTAACTGCTTACCATCATGTTAAAAAAATACCACTGATTGTTTTAATAGCTAATGCCCGTTTATGGAGTTAAGGCATAAATGAGTAAACCCAAAGAAAGCTTACCACTTTTAATATGAAGTGAATGTGCACAATACCACACCTGATACCACAAACCTCACACCATTTATCACTAAACCAGCATCAAACCTCTTTAGAACCTCTTGCAGTCCAAAGATTTTTAATTATTTAGATTTAAAAAATGAACAAAATCCTGGATATAACTTTTTCCTTTACACATTTCTGAACCCTGGAAGGTTTCGTTTTTGGACAATTACAATTTCATTACTGGTAGTGGAGCATCTAAAAGAAATCTAAAAGACCACAAACTATCTTCAGTTAACTAACTTGAGCTTGGTGATGAATAGTCTAATGATGACACAAGGGCATCAAACACAACAATATAAAAATCATTCAATATACAATTAAAACTCTCAAAACTGATACATAAGCATCAAGCTGATTAAATTAATTAGCAGTAACCGACTCCAGGGATCTTGAAAAACTATTGTCAGATTAGAAAGATTTGTCTTCGTTCAGTTATTCCCTCCATCTGACCAGGGGACCAGCTGAAATCAATATGCTATTATCACGTGTTTTTGAAATGCTCAACCACCTCTTCTATGCAGTGAGGTAAACATTTGGAACATGCAGTTTATAATCATTTCAAACATATTCACAGAGCAATTTGTCCTTACAAATGTATGTTTCTTAATCAAATAAGTTCAATTTTCACATTTTATAGACAATTTAATTTTCTCATCCTTAAACAATTTTTGGACATTTTGAGCCATTTGCTGTGTAACTTTAACAGCATAAAGCTTCATTATGAGGTAAGTCTGGGTGAAATCATTAACTTACAGACTAAAATGTGCCAGCATTCAGAAACTCCCTTTCTCAATTAATTTTGCTAATTCTTCACAAAGTACTATCACATATTAAGTTAATACTGGCATTAAAAATGCTCAATAAATATTTGCGCAAATCAGTTGAAGTATTGAGAATCTTTCAGGAAGATTTAGTTCCAAAACAGTCCTTGAAAATCAGCTCCAAAAATTCAGCTTTAATGCCACATTACTGGCTGTTTTGTTAAGATCGTGGATCAATTTTTACTGCTGCTGTTATAATTGTCATTATTCACATGCTCACTAATTGTGGTTACAAAGCAAGCAGCCATGGTAGGCATTACGGAATGGTAAAATCCAGCTTTGACCGTACAAAATTTGCTTCAACTATTGATAGTAGCAAAGCAGCTATCCGAAAGTCCGATAGATGGAGAAACATTATCAGACAGTCTCATACAATCTCAGTCTGGATTAAAAAGTAGCACAGGTGGAATCCTAAGGTAACTGCAAGAGATACATGTCCACAGGATGGAGAGGAGCAGAGCAGTAGGTTGAGATGACATAAACTGAAGGTGGTGCATGCTGATGAGAAGTGCAAACATGCTTAGTGTGCCAGCTGGCTGGCCACTCTAAAAAAATTCTCATAGACTGGTATTAAATTTGTGGCACAGCTAATCTAGTGTCTGGTATCTACGATCAGAATCAACAGTGAGATTTAACTGACACAGAAACACACCAATTAAGGTAATAATGAAAACTGATTAAACATTGTGATACCACTAGAGTGTGATTTAATGTCAATCAGCTCAACAGTTTCCCCAATCACCACCTAAACCCATTCAAAAACAATACCTGCCTCCAAAAAAACACCAGAGATAGTAGGAACTGCAGATGCTGGAAAATCTGAGATAACAAGGTGTAGAGCTGGATGAACACAGCAGGCCAAGCAACATCATAGGAGTAGGAAGGCTGATGTTTCGGGCTTAGACCCTTTATCAGAAATGGGGGAGGGGAAGGGGGTTCTGAAATAAATAGGGAGAGAGGGGGAGGCGGATAGAAGATGGATAGAGGAGAAGATAGGTGGAGAGGAAACAGACAGGTCAAAGAGGCGGGGATGGAGCCAGTAAAGGTGAGGGTGGGTGGGGAGGTAGGGAGGAGATATGTCAGTCCAGGGAGGACGGACAGGTCAAGGGGGCGGGATGAGGTTAGTAGGTAGGAAATGGGGGTGCGGCTTGAGGTGGGAGGAGGGGATAGGTGGGAGGAAGAACAGGTTAGGGAGGCGGGGACGAGCTGGGCTGGTTTTGGGATGCGGTAGCGGGAAGGGAGATTTTGAAGCTTGTGAAATCCACATTGATACCATTGGGCTGCAGGGTTCCCAAGAGGAATATGAGTTGCTGTTCCTGCAACGTTCGGGTGGCATCGTTGTGGCACTGCAGGAGGCCCAGGATGGACATGTCATCTGAGGAATGGGAGGGGGAGTTGAAATGGTTCGTGACTGGGAGGTGCAGTTGTTTATTGCAAACCGAGTGTAGGTGTTCTGCAAAGCGGTCCCCAAGCCTCCGCTTGGTTTCCCCGATGTAGAGGAGGCCACAATGGGTACAGCGGATGCAGTATACCACATTAGCAGATGTTCACCTGCACATCTGCTTGATGTGGAAAGTCTCCTTGGGGCCTGGGATGGGGTTGAGGGAGGAGGTGTGGGGGCAGGTGTAGCACTTCCTGCAGTTGCAGGGAAAAGTTGCAGGATTTCACAAGCTTCAAAATCTCCCCTCCCCCGACCGCATCCCAAAACCAGCCCACGTCATCCCCGCCTCCCTAACCTGTTCTTCTTCCCACCTATCCCCTCCTCCCACCTCAAGCTGCACCCCCATTTCCTACCTACTAACCTCATCCCGCCCCACTGACTTGTCCGTCCTCCCTGGACTGACCTATCTCCTCCCTACCTCCCCACCTACACTCACCTTTACTGGCTCCATCCCCGCCTCTTTGACCTGTCTGTTTCCTCCCCACCTATCTTCTCCTCTATCCATCTTCTATCCGCCTCCCCCTCTCTCCCTATTTATTGCAGAACCCCCTTCCTCTCCCCCATTTCTGATGAAGGGTCTAGGCCCAAAATGTCAGCCTTCCTGCTCCTATGATGCTGTTTGGCCTGCTGTGTTCATCCAGCTCTACACCTTGTTATCTCTAAAAAAACACCTATTGTTTACAAAGGGCTTGAAATAATAAACTTTAAAATCAATTATTGACTCTAAAAGTGTCCAAGACCAGAGGTTTCCTGTCACATTATCAGTAAGCTCTGTGTGTCATAACAGTGAGAACAGAAAATGTTGAAATAACACACATTTTGGCTCATCTGCCTCCACACTTCTCTGATCAAATTATCAATGAAAGACATTAAAAATTATAACAACAGTTCTATATATATATGCACACTTACTCCACTGAAAGATGTAGCCTTTAAGGCATTAACAAGAGACTAATGCAAAATACCAAACTCTACCATTGCCTTAGAGTTATTTTACCACTGATACTAAAAGAAATTCTTATTCTCGAGTTCCTACTTCCAATTAGAGCACTTTCACAGAATCATTGGGTCATCAGTACCACCAAAAATACACTACCATTCACACTAGTCCCATGCTCCAGCAGTAGGCCATAGCTTTGAATATTACGATATTTCAAGTAATCATCCAACTAATTTTTAGAAGTTGTGAGATTATCTGCCTCAACTACTCTCCCAGGCAGTGCATTCCAGCTTCCCCCCACAACACCAATCCTCTCAGTGAAACCTTTTGTCAAATCCCTTTAAAACTTCTGATTTTCACTTTAAAAGTATGCTCCCTTCTTAATGACCCTTTGATTAAGAGAAACGACTCTTTCTATTCGCTCTGTCCATGACCCTCATAATCTTATACACCTCAATTAGATTTTGCCCACTTCCCCCCAACCAAACCTTCTCTCTTCCCAAGCTTATCCATCCTCTCTTCATTGTTGACATGCTCCAACCCAGGCAAAATCCTAATGCAGATGCTGATATTTGACAGTGACAACCTTTACATTTACTAATTTCCTTTGTAAATAAGGTTGAGCAGGAGATGTCCTTATATACTTATAATGATTCAGTGCAAGCACATTAGTACTAAAGTCAAAAACAAACTTTAAAGAAAGGACTCCTCCGAGTGGTCAGCTGGGTACAACTGCACTCAATCATGCAGCCAGGAATTGGCTAGGAGGAACTGATCACAATTTCTATCACAAATCAGTGACCAATGATGAAAATTTCATCTACGTGACGGCTGATAGTTGGGATCAAGATAAATTGACTAATAACATTGATTGCCAAAGTTCACATGTGAATAATTATTTGGACAACCAACAAAAGGGCAACTAGCGCCTAAATAATGTGTCCCGGGGATGAGTGTTCATGGAATTCTCTTCAGCGTCTACTATGACTTTGGTGGAAGAATCTAAGAAACCTGTAAAACAATATAAATAGTATTTTTGCACCCCTTGTCTCAAAGGTACAAGTAATAAAAAGGGAAACCCAAAGGTACATTCAATTTCTTTATCTTTAGAAAACGGTAGAGAAAATTAACTTGATACAAGGACAGATATATATTCACAATATTCACAAAGTTGGCACCTGAACAAGCTGGCTGCTACATGTAAAATAGTTACAAACAAACAATACAGTGCTAAAAACAATCAATACACGATTTGGAGAATTGCCCCACATAATGACTAAGACGTGGCTGAAACAGTTGTACCAACTGTGAGAAAAGAAAATGAAATAGGAATTCTTAATTTTTTTGTCTTTAAAAATGTAGTGCATAATTACAAAACCCAGGATATTCTTCAACACGATTCAAGTTCTAAATTAGATCAGTTATCATACATAAATTTGTAGCTCTGTGTCAATTTTAACAATTTGCCTTTCACTTTAATTTATTTTAAGCATTTTACACCTGCTAATGAATATTTTGTCACATTATGAAAGCAGCTGTGCTTTTATTTTTTCATTTAGTATGTGGGCATTTATTACTCTCATCAAGCCTTGAAAAATTCTAAACTATAAAGCTTAGCTGCACATAATTTTTGGGATCCAACCAGCTGCTGAATTTGAACAAAGAAAATGCCCAAGCCAATGTCTCAGGTCACCATTAATCATTTGAGTATGGATTTATCTTAACAGCTTTCAAAATATGTGTATCTATATTCTAAAGTAAAATTAAGAGCTTCTATGTAATCACACATGATTTAATATATAATTTCTTTCTTCTTTTAAGCTAAAAACTGTAATCTTGTTCTATTTAATATTGGCATTGACTGCACTCTGTTGATCTCTACTCACATAAAGGTTTATGATAAGACATAACAAATAATCAGATTTACCTACCCTTAATAGTGCAAGCTTCATTTGGAGGCATAACCAGCAGTCGATCTCCTGTTTGAACATATCCTGCTTCAATTTTACCAGTAACACTGAATCCTGACCCTTGATCTGCAAAATGGAAATGATTCAACAAATCATTATTGATCAAATAAATTTAGCAATTAGGTATTTAGAAGAGATTTGTCTGAGCAAAGAAAACAGCTCTGCACCTGTAATTCCAACAGAAGAAACTTCTGCAGCTGCTTGTACTTTTATGTTGCATTATTTAACATAATTAATGTGTACCTTATCCAAACCTGGTATTTCAGTGTACCAAATGTATCACGCAAAATTCCAGATTCATGTACGAGTGCGCCATGGAACAGAATGAGGTCTATATTCTAAAATGTATCAACTTGAAACTCTAGAGAGACACGCAAACACCAAGCTCTAAGAGGAATTTAAGAAACAGGAGCAGGATTAGTCTATTCAGCCCTTCGATCCCACTCTGCCAATCAATGAAATCTACTTCAACACCATTTTCCTACACTAGCCCATATCCCTTGTTGTCTTAATATGTGAAAATTTATCAAGGATCTCTAATGTTGAAACGGGGTGATCCTTCAGATGACGGTAAAGTTGATGAGGGTAAATTATTGCAATAAGTTTGTTTCAACTAGTTATTATATAGTGTAATATAATTCTTTATTTCCTTTTGTGCATAATAAACTTTGATTTTCTTTTGATAAAAGTACATTGGCAGCCTCTTGTAAACATGTTCAGAGACTAACTACCATAATAAACAAAATGCAAGAACAAAATTATGGCTTACGGTATCATTGTGTGTGGAGGCAGTGGCATAGTGGTAACATCGCTGCTCCAGTGATGCTCTGGGAACATAGGCTTGAATGCCACCATGGCTGATGGTGAAATCTAAATTCAATAAATACCTGGAATAAAAACCTAGCCTAATGGCAACAACATAACTATGGTCGATTGTTGTCATAACCCGTCAGGTTCACTAATGCCCTTTAGGGAAGAAAATCTGCATTCATCACCTGCTCTGGCCTACATATGACTCCAGATCCATAGCAATGTTATTGACTCTTCACTCAACAAGCCACTAGCTGGCCTAGCTAGTGATACATATCTCAGTAACAAATAAAAAAGCCAGGTTTAACTCTGGGGCTTGACTTGCCCAATATTATCATCAGCTGGATCATAATAATAGTCAATGACTGAGCCCTCTAGAACAGGGAATTCCAACGAATCACCATCGTCTGACTGAAGAAATTCTCCCTCATCTTAGTATGTGCTATTCTTGTCCCTACAAACTGGCCTTTTTCTGTGCAAAGAGAAATAATCAAATTCAAACTTACTGTAAAAAGAAAAATTAACTAAAACAGATTAGAAGATTCCTCTGGAGCAAAGAGGGAAATTCTGAAACAACGTACATGTCGGTTCTCATTTTGACAAGTAAATCTGATATACAAGATAAGCCTGTTACCACAGAAATGAACTACACTATGTTTTTGCAACTACAAACATGCATTTTAATTAATATTTGTAAGGCATATGAAATGTTGTCAAAGTTTAAGGAGGTAGGAGTGGAATTATTTGATTGCATGAATACAGCATCAAACTAAGTGAACTGAAATATATGTAGCACACCGAAAGGTAGATGTTATGAAAGATGTTAGTGTCTGACCCTCCTTTTTTTTTGTTGTGATGTCTTGATAACAAGGCCTGCTCCCAAGTTTAACAGTCGAAAAGTAAACCTCTGAAGCAGCTACTGCACAAGTAAGATCAGACCTATACCTTATTTAAGAGATGTCAATATTAAAATGTCTGGTTGCTTGGAACACAACGGTATTTAATACTTCTATCATCAATGAAACCCATGAGGATTGTCTCAATATCAACATCTCAAGAAACGTGCTCAACATATTCAAAAGTACAAAACTAATGGGACGAATCAAACATTACACTAATAAACACAAACCTTTAAAAACATCAGCCACACACAAACGAAATGGTTTTTCCACTGGTCTTTGTGGTGACTTGAAAGAATCTAAAAGAAAAAAAACATACTGAAGTAAGTGCAGTCATTATGTTCCCCACTGAGACTATCGAGTATATTTATCAATAAATATAATTAAAATAGGATGAAGGAAGTAATAAGCCAATCACATAATACTGACCAATTTGCTCTAACAAGCAAGGTCCATTGTACCAGGCTTTGAGTTCAGGTATTTGACTTCTTGTGGTTAGATTCTCGCCATTCAGTCCTGTTGTAGGGATGTAAGCAACATCAGAATCCTAGTAAATGCAGAAACATTTGATATTAACATCTTTAGAGCACTGTTTCTTCCTTACAACCCCTGTGACAAAAAGGAGTATTTCTTGTCCAATTTGCTTTATCCTAATTCATTGGAAAAAAAAAATGAGAAAAGTAGGCATATCTAAAAATGAATACAATATTCACAGTGACAGTAGGAACTATTCACAGTGTTCATTTTATAAAATCCAAAAACGAATCAATTATAAAATGATTCATTTGGTTAATTGCCGAATTGTACCAAAGGATAGCATGTAGTGAAGATTTCCTGCTTCTTTGGGAAGTAAAGACAGGAAATAATGCAAAGGAATATGTTGCAAGGCAGTATTGCATATGATGGGTTTTCATTCTATTTATCATAAAAATACATGAGCCATATGAGAAGCACTTCAGAAGTGAGTAAACCTTCGAAATACTTTCTAAATATTTCGAACTTATAATGAAAAACCTTTCTTTTTTGTGTTTTTGGATATTTTCAACATCATTCATCTCTTGTTTTCACTCCTGCAACAGAAACTGAATTTTGCTGTCAGCTCTCTCACATGACTCAACGAAGGAGCTTTTATAATGTAATGCTGATTTAAGATTTATAATGAAAGCGCTAGTTGGCAGCAGTTTTAAAATGTGAGGCATTTCATTTTATTGTTTATAAATTGTGTATCTGTTTATATGACAAATTACTTTGTATTACAAAAGAAAATGAAGTGGTATGCAGCAGCCTCATAATATATGGCCATCTTACCTTAAAACCTGCTTGCTTCAGGAAATGTCCAAGTTTATTAGAAATCTCTTTAAATCTTTCAGGTTGCCAATTCACCTGCAATGCCAACCAAAAATTGTCACCGTTAGAAACAAGCCATTTTCTCATGAGACAGGAAACTGTGGTACAAACTGAATTGAGGTAACGTGCTAGACATTGACTCATTAAGAGCTACCTGATCCATCTTATTAACAACAACAGCCAACTGTGTTACACCAAGAGAACGAACTAGCAATGCATGCTCTCTAGTCTGTCCACCAGCCTCAAATCCAGCCTCAAACTCTCCTCGGCTTGCATCCACAACAAGAATTGCTACATCAGCCTGAAGAGGAGGAAGAAAATTGAAAATAAAAATTCACCACAATATTTACTTCAGTATATTTTCAGGCTTAGCAAATATATTTACTTTTTTTAAGCATCTTAGGGACACTTACTTTTTCAGCAACTTTTGTTTTTACGGTACTTTCAATTTTATTTTACCGTGTTCTACAACGCTAGTTTGACAGGAAGAAAGCAGTATAATAAGACATAACATGACTCAATATTTACTCTGTAAGCTAGAGAAAAGAATTGATAAATTTAGTATTTACATTTAGTATGGACAGAGGAGAAAAAGGGTGCCAGCATGTCATCCCAATGATTTTTGACGACCTTTCAGAGAGAGCTACAGAACCGTAAACAGGGCAAAGAAATGATATAGACTCCCAAATATGTTTCTTAACAGGACACGGCACACATGAGATACAGATGCATATACAAATAACATCCTTAATGTTGCTACAGCTTTTGACAAGTATCTGGAAAACAGGCAAGTGAGAATGGCTGAACAGCTTAGGCCTCTATTTATTAGTGTTCAGAAGAATGAGGAATGATCTGATTGAAACTTGCAGATTCTGAGATGGCTTGACAGGTAGATATTGAGAAGGTATAGAATGGTTGACAATGAGAAATATCAAACTAGGGGACACAGTTAGAGAATAGGGGAGGCTGACATAAAAAAAAGATGCAAAGGAATTTCTTCTCTTATACGTAACGAATGCCTGAAATTTTCTACCCTAGTGAGTTGTGGAAGGCTGATCACAAAGTATTTTAAAAATATAGATAGATTTTTGAAGTTTCAAGGAGTTGACAGCTATGATGAGCTGGCACAAAAGAAGAATTGAGGCCTGCAGCAGAACAACCAAGATTTTGCTGAATGTCGGGGCAGGCTTCAGGGACCGAATGACCTACTCCTATTTCTTATGTTACAGAGTAATTAAAATATTTAATTGAATTTAAAAAGTTAATCAATAATATTATTTTAAATTAAACTATGAATGGAATTTAAGTTAAAATTGTAAATTGCAAATTTAGAATTAATTGCAGGAAATGGTTCTCTGCACAGAATAATGGATCATTGAAAGAGAAGCAAGGACAAAAGCCTGAATTATCTTAATAAGTCATTGATGCAAGATGGTGGCTTCAAAGCATTACTTTTTGGGAATGAGGAAAAGTTGAGTGTCCATCTGAATAACTGGCAGTCATTAACTTGCAGAATAAATTAGTGCATCAATGCTGTGTTGTTTATGATAATTTCAAGAAATATTGTACAATTAATACCAGACTTCATAGTAAGCAAATATGCTTTACAATATACATACTTCATGCATTCCTAATCATTGAAGTTTTTGTATTGTGAATCTTTAAACCGTGATGTGGATTTGAAGAACCATGTCTTCAACAGTCCTTGAAATCACTGATTTGTTTGAACAAAGGTAAGTTTTATGGGAAGTATATGATTGGTATATACTGCTGCTATGGTGACAACAACATTACAAACTAACCGTGGCAACATGGTTGACATCTACTCCCACACTTTGTTACTGAGAAGCTACAATCGATCAGGCCAAAATGAGGCTTAGTATAGAATTGAACATTTCACTTCACTTCTTTCATTTTTCACTTCTGTTATGTTCAGTATTCATGGTTTTTATATTTGTTAACTGGTACTTTCAACACCCTTAATGATATTAATGTAGTTTTATCTTTTCATTCGAATGTAAGACTGCATGGGATTGGACAACAATTCTACACTGAAAACAAAGGTCAGACTATAAATAAGAGGGATGAAAATAAAGATATTAACACACTTGGAATTCAGGCAACAAAATATACCTTTGAACTGAAATACATTTTCTCTTACATACTGAATTGATCCCTTAAAAAAGCAGTTGCTTTATTTCAAAAAGAAATCATACACAAACTGCTGGCGATTAACACTGCAAAGTTGCAATATTACTCAAGATTAACCTTTTGCCTATTAAGATTGAAATACTTCCTTCCACGGGTGGCTACCCTTCTAATCCCATGCTCCTGCACTTCCACAAAAATCTTTTTAGAATTTCACTCTTCTAAATATCTGTCCAATTTTTTGTTAAATTAGTTGCTGTAAATGGATCATTTTAGCCCTTCTGAAAGCACTGAGTATTAAAATATATATAATTCATATGAAATTTAGGAAATACAGTTTACAAATAAACGGTCACCCATTTAAGATAGAGGAGGAGGAGGGTGTTTTCTCAAAGGCCTGATAATCTTTGAATTGTCTTCCACAAACAGCAGTTGAGGTTGGGTCATTTAGTATATTCAAGGCTAAGTTAGACAGATTTTTGATTGACTATGGTTATTGGGGTTGACAGGAAAGTGGAATTAAGAAGATAATCAGATCAGTCATGATCTTATTGAATTGCAGAGAAGGTTTGATGAGTTGAATGGTCTAACTTCCTGACTCTTTTGTTTATATTTTGTAACTCTTCCCATCACATTTTGATTACTATTTGCCCCTTCGCTATCTTGTGCTTGTTTCTTGATTCCTTAAACTTCCCTTCAACTGAACCCTCCCCACCCATGAATTAATTTCAAATCTGATGTACAACTATAGTTGTATGATTTGCCACGATACGGATCCCAGCCTAGATCAAATGAAGCCCATCCCAATGGAACAGTTCTCTCTTTCCCTCATACTGTTACAATGCCCCATACATCAAAATCCATTTCCCCCACACCTATTTTTCAGTTATCATTTACTTCTCTAAACTTTTTATTACCCGAAGCCAATTTGCATGTAGTTCAGGTAGTAAACCCTGTGGTCTGCTTTCTAATTTAGCCCTGAGCTGTATAGCAGAATCTCTTTCCTAGTCCTACATTTGTCATTGGTATTAAAATAAGAGGCAAGTAAAATAGATGAAACACTGTACGTAACATTTTGCAAGCTTGATTTCAACTCTCAAAATCCAGCTTTCATTCTAATATTTTGTAGCTAGCAACATGTGAGAACATGATCAGAAAGATTTTTCTCCTTACCTGTGCAGCACCTGTAATCATGTTTGGAATGAAGTCTTTGTGACCTGGTGCATCCATTAGCGTGATCGCTTTGGTCTTCGTTTCAAATGTTGTCATTCCAACATCCATTGTTACACCTCTGAAAATATCAAAATGGGCATTTTAATCTTTTGTCTGAACACAATTATGGCTGCTGTACAATGCTCCATTTTGTCAAGCTGAAATAGATGTGAACTGAGTTCCAGAGGAGAAGACGGGTATCTAAGTTTCTGCTTCATTCAATACTTTCATTTCTTTTTTTTTGTTTCTTTTGTTACAGAAGTGGTTTACTTCACGTCTCATGTATAAATAACAATATTGAAATATCATTGAAGAGAACACATTTAATTTTCACCCAAAATGTATAAATTCCTTCTCTTCTGTTGTCCTACTGGGTTGGCTAGTTTGTTCGCTGACTGCTACCACAGCTTTTCAGACATCATTGCTCGATCTTAAGATTTAAGGTATATGAACATATATCTATATTTTAACATTTATTATAGAGTTTAGATCTTGAACAACTGGCATATGGGTTTTGGTTTGTGTGTGTGAGGAGGTTTAATGATGAACTTATCAGTACTTCTGGAGCCATGAATTTGTTTAAACCAGTATAAGGACAGGATCCACGGGGCAATAGTGGCAGCTTGTTTATACTGGGAGAGTTTTATGACCAGACAGAGTAAACATTAAGGGGCATTAGGAAAAATTTTGGTTTCAGTTCTCAGAAGTCCTGATTGAAGTTGAATGTTTGAAGAAGTTTCTCCTCAAGAAAAAAGGAAATATAGGTTACTTCAATATAAGCATTTCAGTCTGAAAGTTCCAGGCCAGAAGCATTTTGTTAGAAACAGGAAAAGGTTATTTGAAGCGGAGAAAATCTAGGAACAGTTGTGAGACTAATCAAGGAGAGCTACCATTCTCTGAAAACTGGGAACTGAAGGAAACAGTTGAGTCAAACCAATAGATGTGAGACAGATTGTTTTTCTCTGGTGTTTGAGTAGATGTGATTGTATTATTGCTGCTTTTCGAAATACTTCAAGCTATGGTATTTACAAATAGCTTGGATTTTATTCTATTTTGTTGTTTTGTTTGTGCAATGAACTTTGGTTTTATTGCTAAAAACAAATTTGCAGCATTTGGTACTTGCGTTTCAGTCAAATACCACTTTATGAAATAAATGAAGAAAAGATATCAAACCAGATTTCCATCGGGTTCTGACCTGTCCAGTAATGATGTGGAGGTGCTGGTGTTGGACTGGGTGGATAAGGTCAGGAGTCACACTACACCAGGTTATAGTCCAACAGGTTTATTTGAAATCACAAGCTTTCAAAGTGCTGCCCCTTCATCAGGTGAAGCGTAAAGAGGCATGTAGGCACAGAATTGATAGCAAAGACATCAAAAGATCATACGAATGGTGTAAGTGGAGTGTTGACAAGTCAAATAACAAGTCTCTGCAGGTGATCAAAAGTGTTAGACTGCGTGAGTAAAGCATCAACAGCTGAATAACATGTGAAGGGATGACCTATCATCCGATTAATTGAGGCAGAGAGATAATTACAAAAAAATAAGGTGGTGCTGGAGTCAAAGTAAACGGCTGGAATAACGTGATAGGAATAAGAGTCACATGCCAAGGGTCTAACCAAACTAATAAGTAATCCAAAACTGTGCAAACTAATTAAGGTAGAAAGATCATAAGTTATCAAGGTGATGGTGTCAAAACAGGACAATGAGGAAGATTTTACAGATACAGAACAGTACGATAGTGTTACATGTAACGTGGCATGAACCCAAGATCATGGTTGAAGCCATCTACGTGGGTACGGATCTTGGCTATCAGTTTCTGTTCAGCAATTCTGTGCTGTTGTATCTCAAAGGCCGCCTTGGAGGACGCTTACCCGAAGATTGGAGGCTGAATGTCCTTGACCGCTGAAACGTTTCCCGATTGGGAGGGAACATTCCTGTCTGGTGATTATTGCGCAGTGTCCATTCATCTGTTGTCGTAGAGTCTGCATGGTCTCACCAATATACTATGCCTCGGGGCATGCTTGCCTGCAGCGTATGAGGTAGTCAACATTGGCCGAGTCACACAGTACCACGACACTGCACTTCTCTAGCTTCCACCCTGAACATATTAAAGAAGCTATCCCCTACAGCCAAGCCCTGCGTATACACAGAATCTGGTCAGAAGAGGAGGAACATGACAGATACATAAAGATGCTGAAAGACGCCCTCTTAAAAACGTGTTCAAATGTTCAAATCATTGATCACCAGTTCCGATGTGCCACAGTGAAAAACCACAACAACCTCCTCAGAAGACAGACACAGGACACGACCGATAGAGTACCCTTTGTCGTCCAGTACTTCCCCAGAGCAGAAAAACTACACCATGTTCTCCACAGCCCTCAACATGTCATCGATGACGAACATTTTGCCAAGATCATCCCTACACCTCCACTTCTCGCCTTCAAACAACCGCCAAACCTTAAACAGACGATCTTTCACAGCAAGCTACCCAGCCTTCAGGACAACAATCGACCACAACACCATACAACCCTGTCATGGCAACCTCTGTAAGACATGCCAGATCATCAAGATGGATGCTACCATCACACGTGGGAACATCACCCACCATGGACATGGCAGATATTCGTGTGACTCGGCCAATGTTGTCTACCTCATACGCTGAAGGCAAGGATGCCCTGAGGTATGGTATGTTGGTGAGACCATGCAAACTCTATGACAACGGATGAATGGACACCGCGCAACAATCACCAGACAGGAATGTTCCCTCACAGTCAGGGAACACTTCAGCAGTCAAGGACATTCAGCCTCCAGTCGGGGAACACTTCAGCAGTCAAGGACATTCAGCCTCCAATTTTTGGGTAAGTGTCCTCCAAGGCAGCCTTTGAGATATACAACAATGCAGGATCACTGAACAGACAGTTCCATACCCATGAAGACGGCCTCAAACATGATCTTGGATTCATGTCACACTACATGTAACGCCACCACACTGTTCTGTATCTGTAAAATTTCCCTGACTGCCCTGTTTTGACACCATCACCTTGTTACGATCTCTCTACCTTAATTAGTTTGTACGGTTTTGGATTACTTATTTCTTTGGTCAGACCTTCGGCATGCGACTCTTATACCCATCATATTATTGCAGCCATTTGCTTTATCTTCAGCACCTTACTTTTAATTTTTTGTAATTATCTCTCTGTCTTAATTAATTGGATTATCGGTATTTCCTTTTTTTCAGATACTCCTTTGTGAGATGTGGCCATCGCTGGCTGGCCAGCATTTATTGCCTGCCTCTAGTTGCCTTTGAGAAGGTGGTGGTGAGCTGCCATCTTGAACCGCTGCAGTCCTCCTGCTGTGGGTTGACTCAGAATGCCATTAGGGAGGGAATTCCAGGATTTTGACCCAGTGACAGTGAAGGAATGTCAATATACTTCCAAATTAGGATGGTGTGTGGCCTGGAGGGGAACTTGGAGGTGGTTGCGTTCCCATATATCTGCTGCCCTTGTCCTTCTAGATGGAAGTGGTCGTGGGTCTGAGCATCTTTGGTGAATTTCTGCAGTGCATCTTATAGATAGTACACACTGCTGCTACTGAGCGTCAGTGGTGGACAGAGTGGATGCTTGTGGATTTAGTACCAATCAAGCAGGCTGCTTTGGCCTGGCTGGTGTCAAGCTTTGAGCTTTGTTGGAGCTGCACTCATCCAGGCAAATGTGGAGAATTCTATCACACTCCTGATTTGTGTTTGTAAATAGTGCACAGGCTATGAGGAGCCAGGAGATGAGTCACTCGCCTCAGTATTCCTAGCTCCTGACCTGCTCATGTAGCCACTGTGTTTATGTGGTGAGTCCAGTGGAGTTTCTGGTCAATGGTAACTGCCAGGATGTTGATAGTGGGAAATTCAGTGATGGGAATACCGTTGAATGCCAAGGAGTGGTGGTTAGACTGTCTCTTATTTGTGATGGTCATTGCCTGGCATTTGCGTGGACATAGAACAGTACAGCACAGGAACAGGCCCGTCACCCCACAATGTTGTGCCGAACATGATGCCAAATTAAACTTATCCCTTCTGCCTGCCCACGGTCCATATCCCTCCATTCCTTACACATTCATGTGCTTATCTAGAAGTCTCTTAAATGCCCTTATCGTATCTGCCTCCGTCACCACCCCGGCAGTGTATTCCAGACTCCTACCACTCTGTGTGTAAAAAAACTTGTCCCTGACATCTCCGTTGAACTTTACCCCTCTAATCTTAAATGCATGCACCCTAGTATTAGGCATTTCAACTCTGGGAAAAAGATTTTGACTGTCAATCCTATTTATGCATCTCAATTTTATAGACTTCTATCAAGTCTTCTCTCAGCCTGCTCCGCTCAAGAGAAAACAACTCGAGTTTTTCTAGTCTTTCTTAATAGCTCATACCCTCTAATCCAGACAGCATCCTGGTAAACCTCTTCTGCACCATCTCCAAAGTTTCCACATTCCACCCATAATGGGTCAACCAGAATTGAACACAATACTCTAAATGTGGCCAAACCAATGTCTAATATAGCTGCAAAAAGACATCCTGACTCTTGTACTCAATTCCCCAACCAATAAAAGCACACATGCCATACATCATAGGACACGTCTGATAAGAGTAGCTTTCATCATCCAGTACTTCCCCAGAGCGGAAAAGCCCACAGGTCATCGATGACGACAAACATGTCACCACGATCATCCCCATGCCTCCACTTTTCACCTTCAAACAACTGCCAAACCTTAAACAGACCATCATTCACAGCAAACTACCCAGCCTTCAGGACAACAATCAACCACAACACCACATAACCCTGTCATGGCAACCTCTGTTTCAAGAGTGGCAAAACCTTGAATAAATTAGGCTTTCACAAAACAACCTCGTACTTCAATGAGGAGAAACTGCATTGTTAATTCAAATGGCAAATTCAGGATACTGTGTTTAAATATATAACTATAACCAATAAAACATTAGAAATTCTGAAAATATTAAATCACAATACATTACTTTTCAGTCAAAACATATACTGTTATAGAACCCATTTTGTTTGAAACTATGCCCTCTGGTTATTAACCCCTCTATGAAGGGTAAAGTTTCTCCCATCTATCTTGTCTATGCCCCGCAGAATATTGTACAACTTAATCAGATTGCCCCTCACAATTGTCTGCTCTACGGAAACAACCCCAGCCTATCTAGTCTCTCTTCACAACTGAATCACTCCAACATCCCGGTGAGTCTCCTCTCCAACTGCTTCAGTTCAATAGCATCGTTCCTGTAGTGTGGCAACCAGAAGTGACTGCACACAGTACTCCAGCTACAGCCTAACAAATGTCATAAGCAGCTCTATCATAACGTCTTCGCTCTTGCATTTAATGCCTAGACTAACAAAGACAAGAATCCTATATGCCTTTACTAACACCTTATCTGCCTGTTTTTGTTGCTTTCAAGAAAGAACCTATAGACTTGCACACACCTGGGTCCCCTTAATCCTCTGTACTTCCTAGGATCCTACATTCCCTTGTCTTGTTAGTCCTCCCAAAGTGCATTATATCACATTAAATATTAAATTCCATCTACCACTGTTCAGCCCATCTGACCAGCTCATCTATATCGTACTGCAATCTAGGGATTTCCTCCTCACTATTGACCACCCCATCAATTTTCATGTCACCTGCAAACTTGCCGATCATACACCCACATTCATGTGTAGATCACTACAGTACACAACAAGCAACAAGGAATTCAGCACTGAACCCTGTAGTATGCTACTGGACACAAGCTTCCAGTCACAAAAACATCTTTCAACAATCACCCTCAGCTTATTGCCACCAAGCTAACTTTAAATCCAGTTTGCCAAATTTCCCTAGATTCTATAGGCTCTTAGCTTCTTAAACAGTCAGCCAGCAGTAACTCAAACACCTCACTGATGTCCATATTTTGTTTGAAACTATGCCCTCTGGTTATTAACCCCTCTATGAAGGGTAAAGTTTCTCCCATCTATCTTGTCTATGCCCCGCAGAATGTTGTAAAACTTAATCAGATTATATAAACTGCATACTGTCATCTACCCACTTATTTAACTTCTTGAAAAATTCGAAGTTGTTAGAATGATCTCCCTTTAACAAAGACATTCAGACTAATTTTGATTAATCCTTGCCTCTCCAAAGTACAGATTACTTCTGTCACACAGAATTTTTTCCAATTGTTTCCCTACCACAAACATTACACTCGCTGATCTGTAGTTTCCTGGATTATCCTTTCCAACTGTTTTGAATAATGGTATCACATTAGCTGTCCTCCAGACCTATGCCACCCCTCCTTAGGCCACAGAGGATTTGAAAATTAATGTCAGAGTTCCTACAGTCTCTTCTACTGCCTCTTGCAGAATGGGATATATCTTATTTGGGTCTGTCAAAAAGCGCTTGCCTGAAATACAGGTCCTTTAGGCTTTACTGTGTCTGTCTTCATTTTATTCTTCTCTAGGGTGGATAATCTGCAGACAATATCTGTCCCAATATGGAGAATTTTGGTTGTTCAGTAGCACTATGTACCATCTACAAGATGCACTGCAGAAATTCAACAAAGATCCTCAGACAGCACCTTCCAAAACCATGACTACTTCAATCTAAAAGGACAAGGGCAGCAGAAACATGGGAACACTGTCCTCTGAAAGTTTCCCTCCAAGCCACTCACTATCCTGACATGAAAATATATCACCATTCCCTCAGCTTCACTGGATCAAAATCCTGGAATTCTTGACATAATGGCATTATGGATCTACCTACATCACATGGATTGCAAAACGGCAGCTCACCATCACCTTCTCAAGTCAACTAGGAATGGGAAATAAATGCTGACACAGCCAACACTGCTCACATTTTTCAAATTAATTTTAAAAATTCCAAGAGGGGAAATACATCTTTGTGACTGATTTCAGTCATTTTGATAAAACGTTGATTTTATTTCAGATACATTCTTGTTTATTGAAGTTTTAATGAGCTTGACTCAGCTGGGTCAGATGATCATTGAATTACAGAAGTGTTATGGTACAGGTGGTGGTCATTTGGTCCATCATACCTGACTAGAAAGTCAGTGCTTTTAGTAGATGAAAGGGTTCAGGTACTACAATCAGATAATGATAGTCAAAAAGTGATGGTCCATTTTCCCATTATTATGACAGGTAGTATATAATATCAAAAAACAATGACTTTTAATTGCCTTCTTCCTCTGTCAGCTAACAGCTAGAGTCCATAATGGAGTATCAGTGACTCTGCCCAAAGAGCTTCTAACATAATAAACATCGCAGATTCTGCTGACCTGGCTACCCAACTTATTTAGAGAGGACTGGTCCATTTGGAGTAGGAAATGTCAATTCCAATCTGTTCTGATTGAATTAATCCTAAAATATAGAAAAGTACTTCAGCACCCTGGATAAGGGTGGGAAAAAAAACCGGCCAGGATTCCTTTTCCTGATTACAAGCTTCGATAGGTTCATCAGATCAGGATCAATCTGAGCTATGTCATAACAATTGAATAATGGACTCTTGGACAAGGAACCAGGAAGATGTGCTGCCTGTAACACTGTAGGGACTTTTGGCTTGTGATTTTATTAGGCCTGAACCCTCTTACATTATGTGCGCTGTTTCCCAAAAATTGTGCGTAGCTACACTGAAAAATAATTATAAAGGAATATAGCAATGGGGTAACCAGTGCCTATAGAACCTTACTCTGTAAAAACCTCAAGCGCATGGAACCTTCACGTTAAACCATAACTTTGGTGAATTTAATCTCTTAAGGGATATTTGTCTACATTGGGAGGCGATGACCTAGTGGTATTATGGGGAAGCGATAGCCTAGTGGTATTATTGTTGGACTGTTAATCCAGAGACCCAGATAACCTTCTGGGGACTCGGGTTCGAATCCCGCCACAGCAGATGGTGGAATTTGAATTCAAGAAAATTTCTGGAATTAAGAATCTAATGATGACCATGAAACCATTGTCAATTGTCAGAAAAACCCATCTGGTTCACTCCTTTAGGGAAGGAAACCACCATCCTTACCTGGTCTGGCCTTCATGTGACTCTAGACTCACTGCAATGTGGCTGACTCTTCATTAGATTGCCCTCTGGGCAATTAGGGATGGGCAATAAATGCTGCCTAGCCAGCGATGCCCTCATCCGGTTGATGAATAAAAAAAAATCCACAAAAAATATAGCAGGAAATGAGAGGTCCTGTTGGAGGAGGAATGCTTTTTGAGCTCTCTGAAATTCTGTGGTGCTTAACCACAGCATAAAGTTAATGGTTAGAAAGAAAATTCCAAGCATACTTTTAACATAGAAAATATATTTCTGCACATTTGAAAGATGATTTAGAAAATCATTTACCTTTCCCTTTCTTCACCTGTCTCATCCAAAACCCAAGCAAAGGCAAAGGAGGCTTTTCCTGCTTTTTTTGATTCTTGTTCATATTTGTGCATTATACGTTTGTTTACCTTTCCCAGAAGGTAAAGTAGATGACCCATTAAAGTACTTTTGCCAGCGTCAACATGGCCTAATATTAAAAAAAGAAAAATTTTGCTTATATTAGTAAATCACATTCTGCTTATTTAATTGATAAATATTTTATACTTGTGTACGGAATCCATGCCACCTATATTTTGTTAAGTAAATAAAGATAAATTAGGAAGAAATTTGCAGATGTAAAATTTAGAAACTGAGACACGCAGTGGATAGACGGCCATCACTGTTACAATGATTTTTTTCCCTCTAATCTAGCAAGACATTTGCTGTCATATATTCATCAAAGCTTCAGCTAAAAGCTGCTTATACACCATAAATTAAGGTCCAAACTGCATTCTTCCTTGCCTGTATGGCTTAAACTATATAGCAAAATGTATTTGCCAATATTTCTCCAGATTCAGGCACTAGGAGACAGAGACGGCTAATTTGAATTCCTGGTTTTTGAGGGAGACCATTTTCAGTCCATTTTTCTCAGTGAAATTCAGTCTCTCAAAAAAGTGGGGTATAAGGGTAATTCTGCCTACCCTATTGTGAATATCTCAGAGAAAATTATACAGCATAAATCATTGCATATTAATTTAGACTGCTTAAAAACAAATAACTCTTGAAACCTCTTCTAAATTAATAAATATGAATCTGTGTATCAATAATAAGAGAGATTAAACCAGTGAACATTACACAATTACTAGAAATACTACTAATACAAACATTGTGATGCATTGTACTCTGGGAATTTTTTTCATATATAATGTAGCATGTGAAAGGAAGAGGATACAAAAATAGTACCTGAAACCATAAGTTTCATTTGAATCAGAGTTTCCATTACCAGCAAAAGCAAACTACTATTTAAGTTATCAGCCGATGCATCTTTATACAGATACATCTGCTAAATTGACTGAACATCAGAAGCATTTTCCAAAACTTTGTATACATCGAGCATTTCAATTGTGGAAAACTGATTTTAATTTGTTTTTGTTTTTGCTTTTCTATGCCACTTACTACTACCACTACTTACTACAAAATAATCTAACAAGCTTTCCATATAAATACTTCTACTAATATCAGAATAGCAATGAATGAATCAAAAAAAAAGGTTGATTTAGAATCCATACCCTCTGGGGTCATTCTGACTAAAATCTGCACAGTATGGGAAATACCAAGTTCACAGGCATGATCCAAGGCAGCTTTCACTTGTCAATAATGTGTAATGGCAGTTGGGTTGAACTGAGGCGAAATACCTCCTGATACCAGTATTTCAAATTTGTCCATTTGGCAACATGACAGCTTGGATGGCTGACATCTACTATATGTGACAGCATTTAAAAATACATAATCACAGCTTTGATTTGCACTGTCTTGAGATGATAAATTCAAAATAGTATATGCCACCCACTTCCTGAATTCCTGCCATCATTCCAGGCCTTTCCCCAATTTTCACTGGCATGGGATAAGGGTTCAGGTAGCAAGACCACAGCCTGCAATTGCAACCTGGCCTGCTCCATTGCAGGGGTAGGCAAGTTCTGTGGGCTGAACAATCCCAAAATAAATTCAAAAAGTTTTGTACCTCTGCCCCCCCATGCCTATTCAATGCCAACTCATACCCCTTCCTTCACCATTCAAGTGTGCACTATACACGTAACCACTGAACCATATGGTAACAAGGCCAAGAGTGGAACTAGTGAAGAAAAACACTCATTCACGAATCTTCTTTTGACAAGAATGTCCCCATAACCCTTTTAAGAATAAAAGGTATGAAGTTCTTCAAACGTCTTTTATTAATATTTTAATGCTACGATGGCAATTTTGAGAAACTTTTGAGCTGCAGCTTTTTCCCAGAAAATGATTTGTAAACGGATATTTTTTTCTCTCAACAAAGAGGCAAGAGCTTTCATGAACAAGGAGAATATGGGATCAGTTGGGAGGCATGAGTTAACATGGACAGTGGGGGTGTAAGGGTGAGGCCTTACTGCATTTGATACAATCCAGAGAACTGAGGTGGGCTTTGTAACCACTCCACCTCAGCAGTCATCCACCCTGTAACCACCTAGGTTCTGCTTCGAGGTTGTTAGGCCAAACTCATTTCACACCTACTTCCATTCACAGAGTGAAGATTGTGTACAAAGAGGCACTTTAATCCACAGAAAAGGGGTTCTGCTGAGTCACAAACTTCCCAACTTGTGTTACTTGTCCCAGTAATAAAACTATGCCTTTGACCATGTAATGATTAGAACCAGCTGGGTCTTATTGACTACGAGATCCTTGATTGGGGTTGTTAACCTGGAAAGCCCCGGCTGACCAATGTAACCAGAAGATTCAGAATCTCCTCAGTTCAGGCAACTGACTCCAAGCTAGTTGGCCACAGCCAGTGTACTGTGCACAAGTAAATAAAAGGGACTTGGACGGGATACCGAACTCTACACACAGTTATTTCAGATCACAAGCAAACCTGTTGCCCAAATGCGGAAACCCCACATGTAACTGACAGTTCCAGAGGTAGAAGAACTCAATCTATGATGAAAGATGTAGAGCTGTCACATTGAGATTCTGTGGGCCATACCAATCCCCATGTGAATCCAAAAGACGTAGCCAATGTTGTATTTGTTTATCAGTTTGCATCTGAGAAGGGAGCATTAAGTAAATGGTCTATAAGATGCTGATACAGTTTTTTGTTAATCTTTCATTTTAATAAATCTGTGCATCAGTCATAGCCTAAGCTACACTTGGATAGTATTTATGGTACAAATTCAACTTTTCCACAAGCTTGTAAGATTGACGTTTTAGTCAAAATTAGGTGGGTCAACAAGTAACATTTTGGAGATATTGAAATCCATTCTTTCCCATCACTTCCCTAATGCAGAGTTGCTAGAAGTAAGGCAAAACAAGCCAGAATTGTGAGTGCAGACACCAGGAGCAAAATAACCACCAACAATAGTGTGAATCACAGAACCCCTACAATGTGGAAGCAGGCCATTTGGCCATTGGGTCCACACTGACTCTCTGAAGAGCATCCCACCGAGACCCACCCCCTTATCCTATCCCTATAACCCTGCATTTTCCATGGCTAATCCACCATCCCTGGGCACTATAGGTAATTTTGCATGGCCAATTCATCTAATCTGTACACCTTTGGACAGTGGGAGGAAACCCACACAGTTACGGAGAATGTGCAAACTCCACACAGTCGCCCAAGGGTGGAATCAAACCCGGGTCCCTGGCGCTGTGAGGCAGCAGTGCTAATGACTGTGCCACTGTTTGACTTCGCAGCAAAAGACTGCTAAGTACAAACTGTTTGGATTTTTTAAGCTAAAAGCTGGTGGTCATATACACAAGGTATATGAAAAGTGATTTTTCTTTTGACAAAAGTGCAGTGTTGGCTCTTATATGAAACCAACAATTATTCATGTACACACAGCGTCCAACTTTGCGTTTTGAGATGAAGGAAAACACAAGGGTTTCTGATATCCCCACTACGCTCAATACAGTGACAGCTTTTTTCTTGAGAACATTACATCAGAAGTGGTATACAAAGGTGAACTCTGGTTTGCAGTGAATGGAGATAACCTGTCACTTTGTTCTAAACACGAAGAAGATATTTGAGTAAAAAACTCAAATGCTTGATACACATGAGCAAGAATAAAAAATATAAAAGAAACTTTGCTGAAATAAACATACATGATTAATGTAAACTATACCAAAAAACTGTGGGTATTTGTAACAAGGAGAACAACCTTATGGATCTAAAGCTTTACTATCAGAGATAAATTTTACTAGCTTCATATTAATATTTTTATGGTCCAATCATTCCCTGGTCTTGATCTTCCCTATCATTGCAAACTCTTTTAGCTCTACAATGCTCCAGGATCTATGCACGCCTCAATTCTGGCAATTTGCAATAACCTCAATTTTAATCAAAAGCAGAAATTGTTGGAAAAGCTTAGCAGGTCTGGCAGCACCTGTGGAAAGAAATCAGAGTTAACATTTCGGGTCAAGTGACCAACTTTAGCCACCTTATTACAGGTGACCATACCTTTAGCTTTCTAAATCCTTTAAGTTTTGGAATTCCCTCCCTACAACTCTCTGGCATTCCTGTTTTCAGATACTTTTTAAAATTTAACTCTTACAAATCTGCTCTAGAAGCTTCTGACAAGAATTGCTGGCTTTCTTTTAAAAAAGTCCTAGGAAGTGTCTTAGGTTGCTCTTAACAATCAATGTTATCAAAACAAACAATATCATGGTGCAATTTTCAAAAAAAAAAAAAAATTCTTTTTATTAATTTAGCTGCTGTCACAAGATAAGGGGTCAACAAGTAACTGACCATCTTCTATTGTTGACCTTTGAACATTTCTTAGGAAAATACAGAGAATTGTATGAATATGATGCTCCCTTCCTACCATATTAAGCAAATTCATGCCTTTGCTAGAGATCTGTCAGAGTTTTACAGTGCCTTAAATGGAGTATAGGCACATTTCTATCCTACTATCCTGTTGTACATCAACCTGGAAAACTGCTGTGGTGACCTTCTGGCTGACTGGAATGACCCAGGTCTAATAAGACAATGATAACTATGTATATTTTAACTGCAGTAGCAATTATCCCTTACCTATCACAACAAGATTGAGCAGCTGCTTCCCTGCTTGCCTTTTTTCAAGCTCAGCCTTCACATCAATCTGCTGTCTTGCTTTGACAGAGCCCTTACTGGGAGTCTGAATCACTGTTGTTTCTTCAGATAAAGGGGCAACATGAGCTGTAGAATTCGACTTGGATGAAGCCTCCAGCACCGGAGGTGGAGAAACCTCTTCAGAGACTGCACCTTTTCGCAAGTGGTCGTTCTCATCAACATTTGCACTATAGCCAACAGAGTAAACATGTTTAGTACAGCATGCTTTCAAGTAAATTTGTAATGCAAGAACATCTTTTTTGCTAGTGTGTATGGTAGAAACCAAAGTCATAAATATCCTATGCTTGTGAACAAAATTTTTATTCATTAGAGAAGGCATAATTTGAAAACTGTAAAATCTACAAGACACACAAGTGAATAATTGATTACATTTAAAAAGAAAAATAGTATTGCTTTTATGAATGTTCATTTTGGACCTTACCCATAGGGCATCTGGGATGCATATAGGTGTGCTGTCTACAATTACCCATCCATTATTAAGTTCGTTCATTTTGCAGGCCAAGCTGGGAATAGGAATTAGCAAGGGGGTGGGAATTAGCCTGGAGATTTTCCAGAAATATTCATAATTGATAATGCTCCGATTCTTCACCAAATTCCTCGTATCATTGTTTGCTTACATATATAAATTTCCACTGTGAAAATTCCATGTGAAAACCATACAACACCACTGTCAACAGAAGCACGCAAAGGGAGAAAAGTGGAGAGAAACACGCAAACATGCCATTCCTTCAGGATAAATACAACATACGTATTCCCAGGCTAGATTTAAGAAAATACAAAATAGACGATAGGTTCTGTTACTTGATTCATATCCCAGATCCCTATCTAATTACTCAGTGATATGATGGTAGCTGGGGAATTTAAACTCAGCTAATTAAATAGAATTTAGAACAAACATAGCATGGAACATCATGATCATGAAACTTCTAGATAGTTTTTTTTTTAAAGACATTCTGATTCACTGAAGTCCTCAATCTGCTATCCTTTCCTGGTATGGCCTATATGAGAGCACAGATTTATAGCTATGTGGTTAACTTTTACATATCTTTTAAAATGATCAGCAACCCAATCAGTTGTAGTCAAGATGAAAAATCACCACCATGGTCTTAAGGGCAATTAAGGACAAGCAATGTATGTTGGCCTTGTCAGCAATAATATTGAGTAATATAAAATTTGCGTCAATTCAGTTGGTAGCCCTCACACTCCAAATCTGAAGGTTTAGGTTTTTTTTTCTATTCATTTATAACGATTCTGGCTTAGCCAGCACTGATTGCCTAACCTTAGTTGCCCTTGAGAAGGTGTTAGTGAGCTGCCTTTTTGAACCAGTACAGTCCATTTGGTCTAGGGACACTCATAATGCTGTTGGTGGGGGGGGTTCCAGGATTTTCACCCAGAGACAGAGAAGGAACAGTGACATATTCCCACATCAGGATGGCAAGTAGCTTGGAGGGGTACTTACTGGTGTTAGTGTTTCCATGTACCTGCTGCCCTCATCCTTCTAGTTGATAATACTCGTAGGTTAAGAAGGTACTGTCAAAGGTACCTTAAATTTCTGCAGTACATGGTTCACATTGTTGCTACTGCCTTTCGATGGTGGAGGAACTTAATGTCTATGGATGTGGTGCCAATCAGGCAGGATGCTTTGTTCTGGATGGTGTCAAACCTTGAGTGTTACTGGAGCTGCTCTCATCCAGGCAAGTGGGGAGTATACCATCACACTCTTGACTTGTACCTTGTCGATGCTGGATAGGCTTTGGAAAATCAGGAGGGGAGTTACTCACTGCAAGATCCCTAGGTCTCTGAGTTACTCTTGTAGACACAATATTTATATGGTTAATCCAGTTGTTTCTTGACAATTGCAGCCCTCAGTATGTTGATAGTGAAGGATTCAGAAATGGTGGTGCCATTGAACATGAAGAGGCAATGGTCAGATTCTCTCTTGTTGGAGATGGTCATTGTCTGGCACTTGTGTAGTGTGAATGTTACTTGCCACTTGTCAGCCTAAACCTGGATATTGTCCAGGTCTTGCTGCTTTTGGACACAGATTTCAGTATCTGAGGAGTTGCGAATGGTGTGCTGAACATTATGCAATCACCAACAAATCTCCCCACACCTAACCTTTTATGATGGAGCAAAGGACATTTGTGAAGCAACTATAGATAGATGGGCCTAGGGCACTATCTTAAGGAAATCCTACAAAGATGTCCTGGAGTTGAGATGACTGACCTCCAACAGCTACACCAACTTCCTTTTGTGCTGGGTATGATGCCAGCCAGTGGAGAGTTTTCCCAAATCTCATTGATTTCAGTTTCATAAGGGCGTCCTGATGCCACATTGAGTCAAATTGGCCTTGATGTCAAGGGCCATCACTCCACGTCATCCCTGGAGTTCAGTTCTTTTGTCCATGTTTGAATCAAAGCTGTAATGGACCCAAATTGACCATCAGTGTGCAGATTGTGGCTATGTAAGTGCTGTTAACAGCTCTATTGATAATCCCTTTAATCACATTACTGATTATTTAAAGTAAATTGATGGGTGGTAATTGGCCAGGTTGGAATTGTTTTGTTGTTTTGTGTACAGAACATACCTGGAAAATGTCCCTCATTGTCAGGTAAATGTCAGTTCGAAGCTTGGCTTGGAGTATGGCAAGTCCTGGAGCATGTCTTCAGTACTATTGCTGGTATGTTGTCAGCGCCCAAAGCCTTTGCAGAATCCTGTGACTTGTGTATTTTTCAAAATACCCCAGGGGTGAAGACTGGCATTTTTGTGGTGCTGGGGACCTCTGGAAGAGACCGAGGTGGATCATCCACTCAGCACTTCTGGCTGAGGACTACTGCAGATTCTTCAATTTTTTGCACTGATGTGCTTTTTAAGCCCCACTTTAGCATTTGAGCTTAAAAGTCAAGGCTAATACTCCATGCAGTACTCCACAAGTGCTGCACCGTCACAGATGCTACCTTTTAGATGAGATGTTAAAACTCTGCCTTTCCCAGGAGGATGTATAAGACCCCATGGTGCTATTTCAAGCAAGAACAAGGGAGTTTTCCCACATTGGGCAATATTGATCTTTCAATCAACAGCACAAAGACAGAAGATTTGGTTATTATCACACTGCTGTTTGTCAGAGCTATCTGTATGCAAATTGACTGCCATGTTTTCTACATTACAACAGTGAGCAATTCAGAAGTATTTTATTGATGGCAAATCATTTTCGGGTGTCTGGTGGAAAGTGCAAGAATTGGCAATAATGATAAAGTTTTCCAGCATTCTAGTGCTGTTGGTTGTGTGCGCTTTCAATCATGATGATAAACCATTGCCCTGCTTCTAGAGGACATGAAAGATCTCATGGCACAATTTTGAAGAGCTGGGAATTCACCCCAATGTCCTGGCCATCATTTATCCATCAGCCAACAGATCAAAATAGATAACTTGGTTATCATTTAAATTGTTTTTGCAGCGCATAAGTTAGGTGTCATCTTTCCAGCATTACAACAGTGACAATGCTTCAAAAGTATTTAATTGGCTGCAAAGTGGTCTGGGATGTTGTCATCATGAAAGATGTTAATATAACTATCGGTATTTCTTTCTGAGATAACATGGTCATGTACAAACAACTAGTGCACTACTGGCCTTCCATTTCATGAAAAGAACCTCTTTATTTGTTCTGAAAATATAAGTTTACTTAGCTATGCTAAAATCATTGCATTGAGATAGATTATACTTTTCCTACAATTACACATCACCTCTAAAAGCAGGGCATTCTCAGATTCTCCAGCATCTGCAGTTCCTGCTATCTCTGAAACAATCTATGCACCAACATGAATATGATTGTTGTACCAAGCTGAAAATTTTTAATACAAAAAATTAGGTCATTATAGAACCAAATCCATTTCAAGTAGGAAGATAGTAATGGTAACAGTTTCTCAATATTACTCACAATTCTGAAGCTTTACATTGTGCTTCAATTGCACTTAAGTGATTAGTAAGAATGGTACCTTTTTCGGCCATGCAGCCAACACATATAGTATCAGTTACCAAACCCAAAAAAATCCCTGAAATAGTTTTTGCGGACATGAGAGAACATTGAGAATCGTATCATCTTTGAACTACAAGAAATTTTATTAACCAAACAAAACTTAATGCAATTAATGAATTTAGTTCATTTCATATTTCTCTCAATGCCCTTCAAATGAGTTCTCCTCCACATTTTATGAATTTTTGTGACATTTTACTATCTTCGGACTGCTTTTCTCTTTTTTTTACAAGAAAAGGTCAGACTGCACTCTGAACATTTTCATTTGTTCGTCCGTTTCCACAAAAATACCTCTTCCCACACCATTTTAGCAAAAACAAAAGTGAAATGTGAACTCTTACAACAAGGCAGTTCAGCTTTAAAAAACACGCTCTGAAACACAATTAAGAAATGCTTATCTCTGAAAACTATCTTCACTGTGTTGTACTTCTCAGGATACTTTTTGGCAAAAACATTTAATATTAAAAACATTTGACTACTCAGGCATGTAATGCAAATAAAACATTTGGCCAATACAAGAGAAATGAAAGAGAACTACCTTGGTATATTAAAACCTGTTATTTGTTTTCCAGATACAGTCATTTTTGCTACTTTTGGCACGATATCAGCATCGACTCTTGCAGATTGCTCCTTTGCTTTGCCTAAGGTATAATTGGAATAAGATCAGAAAGATACAATATCAGCAGAAAAACTGAACACTTTTTAATTCAATGCAAAGCAGTTTAGGTGCAGTAATACAAAAGATGGCCAAATAACTTTAGAATTAGGTCAGACCTCAAAATGCACCATAGCTAATCAACGTGACATTCCCTGGAAGGATTGTCTCATGCCACTTGGCCTTGGTAGTGTGCATGGTATAATAATGGATTTAACAATTTTCAGCTAATTCACACATAAGAACATTCTAATTCTACCACAAATGTTAGCATCATATTGTGTTCTCATTAGTAAGATTTTACCTGT